AAATACACAAAAAAGAGAAATTTTAAATAGTTAGTTTGATATCAATATCAAAAACTTTTTTTATGTTTTTATGATATATCTTTATATTTTATTAAAATATAAAAACATTATTTTTTTTTCTCAAAATCACATAAAACTATATTATAACATTGATTGAGACAAAAAAATAAAACAAAATATTAAAATCAAGATGTATCTCGTTGCATTATGCGAGTCTTCTTCTAGTTATAACGAGTCATTTATAGCTATTTATTTATTAATTATTATTCGCCATATTATTTTATTAAACTTTTTTATTTAGTCTTAATTATCTTGATTTATTATAGTCATATTAGCTATCATTACTTATTTTCATCATTTTATTATTGATGTAATTCAATAAATTTACTCTGATAATCAAATAAAATAATTTCTAAAAATATTTTTTTAAGTTACAGAATTATAATTTTTCTAATTTATATATTAAACGAATCAATAAATGATTTATACATAATGTATCTAACTAGTGCTTAATGACGGTTAGCTTAACTAATTAAGTTATACTACGATGTTTGAGTTTAACTTAAATATTAAGGGGTTGATGACTTGATTAGCTCGATAAATTTAATTTAGCTTTTGAATGAGCCGAGTTAAAGATTAGTGTTACAGAGCTCAAATCGTTTTAAAACAAGCTTTATTTTATGTTCAAAATCGACTCGATCTCGAGAATTACTAAGTTCGAGGTCGAGTATCTTATTAAATGCTTGAATAATCGTTAAACACCCGTTAGCCATGTACTACCCACCATACATGAACTAAATCATGTCCGAAAACACTGATTTTAACACGACTAACAAGTCGATAATTTTTCATTCCTAGCTTAGATAGCAATGGATAACGGAATTCAGACAAAGCTACTTCGACATGAAGAAGAGGAGGTAGACGGTGACTTGAAAGTGAGGGTATGGAACGAGTCCAAAAAGATATGGAGGGTCGCATTGCCCGGTGTTATATCAAGAGTTTGTGCATTCGGAACTATTGTTGTCACTCAATCGTTTATCGGTCATATAAGTGACATCGATCTTGCTGGCTACGCTCTTGTTCAAACCTTAAGCGTCCGATTTGTCAATGGGATACTTGTAAGTTAATCATTTATCAATTTTCGTTTTCTGGTTCCACTGTTGATATTAATATCAACAGTAGAACCCAGAAAACTTTGAAAAAAGTACACTATTAATTTGTTGATGGAGTCCCTTAACAAGAGAGTTAATTACAGTTGGGAATGTCGAGTGCAACCGAAACTCTTTGTGGTCAAGCATTCGGAGCCGGGCAACACCATATGATGGGGATCTACTTGCAACGATCCTGGATCGTCGACTTGTTTACTTTGACGGTTTTGCTCCCAATTTTCGTGTTCGGGACCCAATTATACAGACTCCTCGGTGAAGAACCGTCCATAGCTATAAGCGGTGGATACATCTCTCTATGGTTCATCCCTTTCGTCTACAACTTCGTGTTCAGCTTGACCATACAAATGTTTCTGCAAGCACAGCTAAAGAACATGGTGATTGCGTGGCTTTCGATCTTCCAGTTCGCGATCCACATCCCGTTGTCGTGGCTGCTTGTGTATAAGATGGGATTTGGGGTGCCAGGCGCGATGGTTGCGTTGTCGATATCGTCATGGTTTCTTGTTATCGGAGAGTTTATTTACATTTTTGGTGGTTGGTGTCCTTATTCATGGAAAGGGTTCACAGTTGCTGCCTTTAAGGATTTGGTTCCTGTGGTGAAACTCTCAGTGTCATCTGGTATCATGGTCTGGTAAGCATCACATAAATGTTTTGACTTTTCAAGTCAAACTACTTTGATTTCAAATTCAATTTTGATGCGTATTTTGTAATGAATCAAACACCATTCTTATGCAGTTTGTATGATTTTTGCAAAAGATATCAGCATTAAGCACAGTTTTCTCAAGGATTAAGTAATTAAGACGAATTTTGATGTTAATAATGAATCATTTTGACATCAAAAGTCAAATTTACTAAATTTGTTAAGCTTGTTTTTGTTTCATCTACCATTTGAGCATTTGTAAACTGAACTACTCTTTATCTTGTTCTCTTTTCAGCTTGGAGCTATGGTACAATGCTGTGCTAGTCTTACTTGCTGGATACATGGCAAATGCAGAAGTTGCCATTTCTGCCTTCTCCATTTGGTATAAAACTCATACCTCTTTTCTCTTTTTCATTTCTTAATATACTGCAAGTATCTGAAGAAATTGAAGCAATATGTTTTGGAATATTGCAGCTTGAACATTAATGCATGGGAGTTTATGATAAGCCTCGGGTTCTTAGGTGCAGCATGGTACGTGATCGATTGATCAATCAAACCATTTAAAACACCGACATTAATTAACTTTCGGGGTCTTATTATTTGAATAATCTTTCGATATGATGCAGTGTGCGGGTTGCAAATGAACTTGGGAGAGGAAATGCTAAAGCTGCAAAGTTCTCGATTAAAGTCTTGTTGGGAACTTCGATCGCTATAGGGTTGTTCTTCTTTGTTCTTTGCTTGGTGTTCGGCAAAAAACTTGCTTACGTGTTTACAGACGATGAACAAGTTGCAGAGACTGTAGCCGATCTTTCTCTACTACTTTCCTTCTCCGTGTTGTTGAATAGCATTTATCCGGTTCTCTCAGGTAATTTATTCTACCTTTTGAAATTTTATTTCTAAGTTTCTACTTTTAGGAAGTGTGTATATTGGTGGATGTTTTCTCAATTTTGAGCCTGTGAAATCTTGTTTTTAACTAGGGGTTTGGTAAAAGTCGTTAAACTAGGAACTTTCTATTTTGAGAAAGATTAGAGTTACTGTTCATTGCGCTGGATCTTTTTGCCATGATTTGGAAAAAGTCACTTAAGCTATGAACTTTCTATTCTGGGAGAGATCTATTAGTTAGGGTTGCTGTTCATTATGCTGCATTCTTTTGCACATGATCTGGACTTTCTAAGATATTGTTGCACAAGGGATTTGGTAAAAGCTACCCCATTAAATTATAGACTTTCTATTCTCGGAAAGTATATATATGTATTACTGTTCATTATTCTTCAAGACTTTGACTAGTGATTAGTAAAAGCATTGTTGTCATCAGGGGTTTTGTAAAACTGAGTGTAATTTTCTAGGCTGTTTCTTCTGTCAAAGATTTCAACAGTGAGATTCAATAAAGTTATGAACTTTCTATTATAGGAAATTATTTGGTATGGTTCTAGACCCTTTTTCAAGATTCAAATTACCCTGTAAAATCTTATTGTTATAAAGAGTTTTGATAAACTTCTATTCAGATTAAGACCTTTCTATTATGGTACAGTATAGTGTCTTAATGTTCATCAATCATCAAGCTGAGTTTATTTTATGTAATGATTTGAACCCATGAAATCTTCGTGTCATCAGGCGTGGCCGTGGGAGCTGGAATGCAGGGTATTGTAGCAGTCATTAACCTCGTTTGCTTTTACGTGATTGGTATCCCATTGGGAGCTTTGCTCGGGTATTTGACGGATCTCCAAGTAAAGGTACAATATTACCACAAAAGAAAATGACATTTAAGATTGAGCTTATCTATCTTTTCCTTTTCTAGAATTAATATCGAGATCTTCACGTTACTTGATAGGGTATATGGGTTGGAATGATTTGTGGCATCGTAACTCAAACACTTGCGCTCGTGTATCTGACATGGAGAACAGATTGGGACGATCAGGTAAACTTGGGGAAGATGAAATATCGATACTTTTAGTCTTTTAAATTTTGATATTTGCTAGGTTTCTAAAATTAGAAACTTCTGCTTATGATATTGCAGGTCAAGAAATCATTGGAACGGCTCAACCGATTTTACGTGAAGTCCTCTGACAATCCTGAGGAAATTTCTAACTGATCGTGTTATATCAGAAGATCGATTTTTCGTAAGAATGTAACGAGATTTTGCAGTTTTTTTGATGGATTTAGCAGCCATTGCTGATGATTGGGAGGTGTTGATTCTTTCTTTGTGTGGTAGATGTTTACCTTCTATTAGAAAATAAGCTTTTAATTAGTTTAATCCATGTAGCCTAGTGTTCATCCCTTCACCCTATTTTAATTTCATCAACATTTACCAAACACTTATGCAGTAAAAATCACCTTAATGGTTCACAAGGACCAAGATTCTTATCAGGTAAGAGAATGTCTCTTAGCCGGTTAGCATTTACCACGCAAATTGTTACATACGAAATCATTTTGATGGACTATAATCTTACCCAGTAAGGTAAGTAAGAGTATTAGTAAACGCTTACTCGGGTAAGCATTTGGTTAAATGAGCCCTTTGTTTTTCTATGACACCAAAAACACACACCTTAATTACTTGTAAAATATGAAAGCATAAGTTTTCAACAAGAGAAACCAGGTGGATGTATCTTTTTGGTTGGTTTTTAATTCTGAGTATGAATTAGCTAGGTTATCTAGATGATATCCCATACACTTTTTTATTCACTGTGGGTGTCTGGATCAATTTGTACGCACCTCAACTAATAATAGGGGCCCTGACAAACAACCATTTGAATCTTCTGAGGCCTTGCATACTTGAATTACTGACCCTAAGTGGAAAAACCTCAAAAAACATCTTTTATTGCTTGTTGAACTGACCTTACAAAGCTATGTCCTTAACACTTCAACAAGACTAAAGTAGGGGTAACCAATCTCTCGCAACCCAAAAATCAAGGTTCTGACTACTATCCATAACAGTAAAATCATCCAAAAAAAATAATAATCCAAATTCCAAACTAAAATCTCAACAACGAAAATCTAAGACACCAAAATCTACTAAAAGAAGATAAGCAATTCATCAACTAAAATACTTAATGCTAACAGAGCGGCCTCGTGTCATACTTAAATCTTCTCTTTGCCCTTCCAGCTATCCGCTATAGCACCCTTGAATGATGCATGCTAAAATGTCAGCTTTCGCCTAATGAGTTCACGGTTTTCTTACATGCTCAACGAAAATAAGTAAATTGAAAATATGCACTATGGTGAGATATGCAATAGAAACATACAACTAGAAGGAACTCAACTTACATGATGATAAATAAGCTTAGGGATTGTATTAGGTGGATAAGGGGCTCTCCAGCTAGGCTTCAAAAGTTTAGACAAGTGGCAGATTTGCTTGGGGCTGAAAACAAAAGTTCTTTATGCCTTGATGTTCCTACCAGATGGAACTCAACTTACATGATGATTCGTAATGCCATTGATTTTTAAAAAAAAATTAAGTCCTATGATGATGTCTCTCTGAAGGATGATTTGGGTGAAGATTTTGTGCTTACATATATTGGCTATATATCGAGAGCCTCGTAATCCTTCTGAAGAACTTTTATGAGATGATAGTGAGAATCTCGGGCTCTCTTTATGTGATTCTAATTCTTACCGATCTGAGATATTTGATTTGAGTTGCATTCTTGTAGATTTGATGTAATCTCTGACTAAAACCGAACATGTAATACTTAATTATGTTCCTTTTCTAGTTTTCTTACTTATGTTCCTTACTTCCTTTTCTGTTTAGTTCTTAACTATCATCTTGTTTTTTTTATAAACAAGACATGGGTTAAAGAATGAAAGAGAAGTTTGATAGATATTGGGGTGATCCAGCTAAGATAAATTTCATAAACTTCTTTGCAAACATATTGGACCCAAGAGATAAAGTTGAATACATGCCAGTTCAGTTGAATCAGATGTATGGTAAAGATGAAGGTGAAGAATGTTTTGAGAAGGTAAAGTCTAAATTCACTTCCTTATTTGAAGATTGTGTGGCATAATATTCTACATTTGATTCCGAACCTTCTAATATCATCAAATGTCCACCCAATAAATGTGAAAATCTCATCCCCATTGGAAAGGTCCAGTCTAGATTAAAAAGTCAATTAAAAAAACATAAGATGGAAAGTGCGGACTTACTAAACAAAAAGACGAAGCTTGAAATGTATCTGATGATAATAGCAATGACTTTGGTGTTCTAAGATGGTGGAAAGTAAATAGTAAAAGGTTTCCCATACTTTCAAAATTTGATAGAGATATCCTTCGTGTGCCATTTTCAGCTGTGACATCTGAATATATATTTAGTACAACTGGGAGGGTGTTGGATAGTTTTAGGAGTTCTCTAACTCCTAAAATAGCAGAAGCACCATTATGTATGCAAGATAGGTTAAGGGGCCCTACTCAGCCAATTGTGGTTGAGGAAAATTAGAAGATATCGAGAAGTTTGAGAAAGCTACACTTTTCATATTTATCATCTATGGTTACACTTTTTAATCTGTTTAATGTTTATAAACTCATAGAATTGTCAAATTTAAGAATTGGAAGAGTTGTTTGTGACGATCATAGTTCGATTCCAATTGAAGATTGAAGACTTGATGTATTGAAGAGTAAAGAGTTTGAAGATAATTGATGATTGTCATGAAGATTTGATGGTATTTGGATCTTGGTAAAATGGTATTTCATAAACTTTGGTAATTTGGTTTGATGATTGATGGTTTGAGACTTTGAGTCATTTGATGGTAATTTGGATTTCAAACTTTGGTATTTTGTTTTATATTTTAACTTATACACTTCGTTTGAGCTCTGTTGACTTGATTAAGTATTTAAGTTAATGTTACCTCCTTAAACAATTAGATTTTGTAGTTGTGTTTTATAAAAATGGATTGGAATTGAAATCTGGACTGGAATTGAAATATACATGAAATAGACAGGTAGCTGGAAATTGGGGAAAAAAATTAAAGTGGGCCCCGCCACTCGATCGGAACTGAGTTGAAACCCACCTAGACCCAAAACCCGCAGGTTTTGGCAGCAAATATCGGAGTTCTCCGTTTTTCTCACCTGATACCCGATCAGGTTCGTGAGTTCAGACCCCAATCCGACCCGACCACTCTGTTGCTCACCCTATCTTATTGTGATGCAAATATTATTATATGAGTATAAGTTACGTATTATCATATGCGATAATACGTAACTTATACTCACACGTATATTATCATATGTGATATATATATATATATATATATATATATATAAATTCAAAGAGTAGATCATATGTAATACATAAGAGATTATATGTTAAACGTGACTAACTACAAGTTCAAAACATGGATCCCGGAAATAAAGAAAAAATGGTAAACAAATGGATTGATTCTGAATATCACATGTGATATTTGATAAAAAAACGTGAAGAAAACCTTATCAAAGTGCCTAAAAATAGTGAAAAAATCATATAAAATTTAATAAAATTTATAAATTAGTTAAGATTAAAAAATAAATAAAACTAAAAGATATAATAATATTTTTCTTACATTTATATCCTTAACAGAATATTTTACCACATTCAAAATAATAATTATCCTAATTTTTTAAAATTATTTTTATTTTTATTTATAATATATTTTTCAATAAATTATGTCATCAAATCTCTTCCTTTTTTAGCATAAATCAAACCTATCCAACCAAACCCAAGTAACATATGGATGGAAGAACTAATTTGACCTTTAAAGTCAAAATATGCATTAACTTTAGATGTATTATGTAACACATTTCCAATGCTTCAAATCAAGAAAAGAATGTCCATCTTTTCCATTGAACAAGACAAGAATATCAAGGAATTAAGCTATTTTAAGAACAAAGTTTCTCCAAGTTTCAAATTAAGTTAAAGTACCTTACATAAATACTTGAATTGCACACATACTACAAAAATGTACTCATAATAACGACGATGCCATTGTTAGAATCATTGCGACAGAGAGAACTTTCCTGTAATATACCAAAAGACGTTTCAAATTTTTGCAACCCCAAAATGCATTCAAATTTGCCTTAATTGTTAATCATTGTGACGATGATATTTTTTTTCAGTTATAGACATTCGACTCGTTTTCACTACAGTTCTGATCACTAACCAAGATCTTGTAAGTATTGATGATATCGATGTCGATTTATCAAATTATGTTTTTAGTATTGATTACATGAAAATATACCACATCAAAACCAAAAGGTGAAACAGGGATGGATCCAAAATTTTTTAGATACGGTGGCACCATATAAAACGGTTGCATCTTTCACGAACCTAATTTTTTTTTACTTTACCACGGAGGAACAATACGGTGGCACGTGCCACCTAACCACCCCTCTAGGTCCGTATATGAGGTGAAAGGATTGTGGGGTAAAAGAAATTCTAAAAATAGAAAAATATTTTTTTAACGTTGACGGGCCTGTTGATCCCATTCTCTACGACATGGATCTAGCTATGGGTGTCATATAGACTGAAAACATGTTTATCAGGTAAAATAATTACTAATAAAAGAAATTGAACGTGTGTTATATAGTTAGTGAATTAATAGAGAAAAAGTTTGATCATTACACTTACTAAGAACTAAGACAAAATTCGTTACATTTTGATTTATTTTGTCTACTTTCTAAATCATGATTGTCGGTTATCACAAACAAATGTATAAATGTAATGCTTCGGAATCAACTATTTGATTGCTATCATATCAACACATGTCTTACATAATATATAAAGGTTATTCACGGATACGAATGAATAAAAAGGAAAGAATAACTGAAAACGTACCTAGCTAGAGGCTACATGTAATCGATTTTCATTTGGTAACACTCTTTCAAAAATACAAACTTTCGTATCCAAGGAGGAATAAAAATCTTCATGTGGCCACGGAGGTTCAAATATAATGCGGTGACTACGGGCTATCTGCAAAGCATGTGGTCGTCCTGAGATTAGTCGGCTCGCATAGCGGGTTAGATATCCATGTTAGTAAAAAAAAAGTATATTTGTTAAAATGAAAGTGCTTAGGTTTTGCACGTAATTTTCCACACAAAAAATGTACTGTTTTAAAAAGAAAAAGATAAAGGAAAAGGGAAGTGAGTTTGAAGAATCTTGCAGCCTTGATAACTTGTGCAAAACAAGTGACTTGCCTTCGTTTGTATATAGCCTCATTCCACTAATTTATGCTACCACCCTTCTTCTACCCTTTACCTGTAAGAACCCAAATAAGAATCCACAGAGGTTGTGCATTCCTCCCAACATAATTGGAGAAGATCCACAAGCCGTTTAATTACACTTTTTTCGAGTCCTACAACGACACATCTCAAAGCACTTTCGTGTTC